GATAGTCTACATATTTAATTTTTTTAAAAAAAATTTAATTTAACAAAAAAAATAGCCGAAGTTCATTCTTTAATAATCCTGGGCTAAAATTTTAGGCTAGAACGGTTGGAGCAGAAAAGCTGTTTCTGGGCTAAAAGCTAAATTTTCCGAGCTAAAAAATTTGGCTTTTAGCCCAACCATTGGAGATGGTCTAAGGGGCTTTTTAGTCTAATTATTTTTAGTGAAGCCTTGAGACATCAAACTTGATTTATGGCTTTCTAATATTAGAGATTAGAGATTAGAGATTCTAGTTGATTAAAAAATAAAAAATTTAAATTACAAAGATAACAATTACAGTCCGTCATACAATTAAAAAGGCATTGTTGTTAAAACCTTTTGCAACCACGGGCTTTCCTCGTGGTAATATTTAGCTAAATTACAATGGGCTTTAAACTCGCGTTGTTATTTTAACCATTTCAACCACGGGTTTGTTTATGCCCGTTGTTATAATAATTATTTACCACGAACTTCAAATGTTTGGTTAAATTTGAATTTTTATAACGGACTTTATACGTCTGTGGTCAATTAGCCATAGTAGATGTAGTGTTGTGGCGTAGCGGGGTGAGGAGTGGTAGCCGCCCCTCCCCTCGCCGGAAAACACGCCTAGGAACGTTGGTTCAGCCCCTCCACTGTCTTGGTCAAATTTGCAGAGGAAGAGCGATATTTTGGTTGGATTTGCAAAGGAATGACGAAGATGGAGGAGAGGTTAGGGCGGGCGGGGGAGGGGGGGGAGAGAGAAGATGGAAGAAAGAAGATGGGCTGAAGAAGAAACCATAGCCATGGCATGGAGATTAGCAGACATCAGAGATGAAGAGTTCTGTTTGGTATTGGGGGTTGGTTTGCATTTGGTTACGAAGATAGCAAAAGTTGAGATTGTTTTAAACTTTTAAATTTGGTATATTGGGTTTAAAGGGGTTGGTTTGCGTCTGGCCCCACCTTTTTTTTTTTTTTTTTTTGTGGTTTATTAACCCATTTCCTTCATTTATTATTATTTTTTATTATTTTTGTATGTATTTTTATTTTCTCTTTTAAGACTCTCATCGTATTTATCTTAAACTCTCACATTATTTATAAATATTGTATTACTGTTTAAAAACAATGTAAATATTGTTTAATGCTTATTTTACGATAGTTTAAATCCATCACTAAGCTCCTGCCTAGATCTCGCTTAGGCAGTAGGCACCTAGCTACTAGGTTCTAGTCTGTTATTTGACTAGTGCCTAATATTTCAAGAGGATCTAATCGTAGCCAATTTATTGGCTTTGATATTATTGCTTACAACCGCTTTGATGGAGAGACTATTTTCTGCTATGAATAATGACTCAAAACTTTGCACTCTCCAATGTGAAAGCAACTGCTTCGATTGAACTTTGCACTCTTTTGAGTTTCGCCCCTCCCCTCCGCAAATCCTGGCTTCGCCATTGTCAACAACTACTAGAATGTTAAGCAATGTAATATAGTTGTGCAATGTATTTGCTAACTATTATATGATAATAAACGAGGACTATGTATCCTTGTTATCTTGAGCGCCTACAATGCCCTAAACTACCTTAATGCGAAGAGTACCAAATATGTAAATACGCACTATATACACTGTATGTACGCGACATGCACATGATATGCACACGATATGCTCATGATATGTACACCATGTGTACTATATGCTTAGTTTCTTGTCAAAACATACATTTTCAGTGATTCTGTTTTGTTTTAGTTTTATAATGTATATCTGACCTTTCAACTTCCATATACATGTTAGGTCTTGGATTTGTAACTTCAATTACATTCAAATTTCTCGTTTGGGTGCATTTGTCATGGGCCTTGGAGAACTAATATTTTGTAACTTGATTATGTAATGTCCAGTGTTGACTATTAAGTATGGTTGCACTGGAAAAATGGGAACGTGCATTTGACAAGAAAACCTTGGGTGCATTATTTTGTGAATTCGAGTGGTGCATTTGTCATTCTTGTTTCTCTAGTGTATCTAACAAATTTTATTTGATTGTTTTAGGCAAACTAAGATCCACAATATTGGGGCAAGGCTCGTAGGTGTTGATAGTGTTGGCAATAAATATTAGGAGAAGCTTGACACGCAAAATGCTTAGTGTTTTCTACATTTCCCCCTTCAAATTCTGTACAATTTCAACGACGGCGTTCTTCAAATTCTGTTGCAACTTTTGATGCTAAAAACAAAGAGGTACGGCATTGAACACAAAGAAATTTCACCGGGGGAATGTGATGAATTTATTTACTATTCCAAAGGGCACAACCTCAATCCAGGGCAGAGAGACTGGACGCTAACCTTGGGAACCAGCCGAGACGGAGTGAGTAGTTTTTATGACGTGTGTGGATGCAAATTTTTTCCTTCTTGTTCTTGAACAAAATTGCACCTACAAAACAAATAACACCTTAGGTTAAGGCTAAGAACCTCGCGCGTCCATGATGAATTTTGGGGGAGGGGGGCTTTGACTGAAGAACCTCCGATGCCAAAGTTAGAATTTTGAGGAAAAAGTGTTTGGAGAATTTAGAGAGTCTAGCAAGAGAATTGGCATTGCGTTTTGGAGAGAATGAGAGGCCTTTATAAGGGTGTGGCCAGCCTCCTTGGGTCAGAGAGGACCGGCCACTTGGCTCTCTTTGTGGGCTAGGTTCTTGATTTGTGTTTAATTGGGTATAATTGAATAGTTAACTAATTAATTAGTCAATTAATATAATGAAAAAGAAAAGATTTGGGAGTTATCCTGTGGAGAGGATTTGATGAGGATGGATGAAATAGGTTTTGAATTGTTACCTATTTTGGGCACTTTTGACTTGGTTGAGGGATGATTGTCCACTACTCGCGAGTAGGAATCCCGATATAACTCAAGGGTATTTTTATCCTTTTATATCTAAAAATCTACATGTTATCTTGTGATTATTTTTGGCTCCACAATGTGCGTGCTCAAACTTGAAAAAAATCGGCTGTATTGTGCTGTGTATTCCATTCGGCTAATAAATGGAATGTGATAGCTGTGAATCTTTTGGGATGCTTGCTGTACGTAAATAACACTCCTAAACTTGAAAAACTTGATAGTTTAAGGAAATGCTAGTATTTTGATTTGTCAAGGGTAATTATCTCAATTCATGTCAAAAGGGTTGTGTTTCACACTTCACAGTGTTTATACTTAAGGGATCGGTGTTTATCTTGCAATGTGCATCTTTTCAGTATGCAATGTGCATATCATGTGCATCTGCTGAGCATGCAATGTGCATGACATGTGCATCCTTTGAGCATGAAGTGTGCATGACATTATGCATCCTTTGAGCGTGCAATGTGCATGAGTGGTTATATATCCTTTCCGAATGATTATGAAATACGACTCACTAAACATTGCGCATTTACCAGGTCGTGATTGCAATCAAGGTGACTTGAAAAGTTACAGAAAGTTATTAAAGCAATTATCCAGAAAATATTTTTAGGCAAACCAACATCGGAAACATTGTGCATTTATCGGGTCATGATCGCAATCACGATGACTTGAAAAGTTACAGAAAGTTATTAAAGCAATTATTCAGAAAATTTTTTCAGTGAACCAACATTGGAAACGACAGTAGAATTCCATTATAATTATAAAGACAAACTAACTTGGGAGGGGCAAAAACCCATTTATAATGGGGGGGGGGGGCAATTTGGACATTGGATTATGATTTTTTTCGGAAAACTTACATCTGGATTATAAAAGATTAACAAATAAATGTATGCTTCATTACACCAACTTGCAATTGAATTCCAAATGCAAGGAATAGGGAAAAAAGGGTTTTCAAGGAAGAAGATAATTAGTACCCTTACTAAGTAATCCTTTGGATTTAAGGTTTCGTTTGGCAGCTTGAACTGTACTGACTATTTCTATCAGATAGAATAAATAGTCACCGGATAGTACTGACTAAATTAGTCGGGCGTTTGGTGCAGTATCGGACTTATAACCGTATTATTTATAATGTGTTTGGTATTATGCAGGATAAGAGGAATTCAAAATATTAATACTTTTAAGATAAAAAATTGATGATTAATAGAAGAAAAGCACTTTGCAGAAATATTATGGAATTCAAAATAAAGCACTTTGATGATTAATGGAATTCAAAATATTTATACTGTTGTTTCTTCACTTTGCAGAAAAGAAGCACTTTGCTTCTCCCATTCCCGGAGCAAAATGAAATGGAGACGGGCACTCTACAAGGACCATCAACTCCCTCAGATGTAGAAGCAGACCCTAAAGCCCGTTCGTGTCCTCTCTCTCATCGAGTCCTACACCGAAGCCTCTTAAATCTCCACCTCTCTGTCATTTGAAGCATCACCGCCGATGTCAAACGGAAGCCAAAACGGGAATGCTGCAGCCATCGAAGTATCGGAACAACAATGTGCATCAGCCGCGGCGAAGGGAAACGCAGAGAAGATAATCTCGGTTACTACCGCCTTTGCTGCAGGACGGCTAAAACCATTTGAGTTTCGTCAATCGATCGCGACTCTCCTCTTTCCACTGCTTACGCTGTTCGCAGTGATCAAAGGAGGAGGAGAAGTTGCAGGAGGGCGGAACAAAGAGAGGCGTGTACTCAACTAAATAATACCATAGTTTTGGGCGGTATAACTAAGTGGGGATCAGTCGGATAAAGGAGGTGGGGCTGGACTATTTAATCCAAATGGACACCAAACACCGTATTCCGTATTATTAGTACTATCCGGTGCCTTATAGGGTGTGCCAAACAATGCCTAAGCTTTCCCTGAAATATGGTACACATAAAGTATAATCCACTTAGCAATGTAACTCCTTCAACCCGAAAGAAAAAAATAAATAAAAATATGAATTCTACCTTTAGCATTTAAGAACTGCCATATAGAATTGACTTAGGCAATGCTGCCCGCGCGGTGCAGCAGGAATAAAAACTGTGTTGATTACTATGCTTGAAAAACGCAGAGATAGTCGACGAAAACAATAAAATAAATTTAGATATACAAAACACTGTAATCATTCACTGCGGTTCATTGCTTTCACCCAATTTTCAACTGGGACAAGCATTTGTACACAAAAGATTAGAAAATGCTGGACTATGTACACGCATAAAATATTGGTCAACCTAGACTACACATTTTTGCCAGCATTTAGACAGAGAGCATTGGAAAATGCTGGAACATAGATTAGAAAGAGTTATTTACATACCAAAAAATAAGAGAAACATTGTTCGATGCACATAGTTCAGAGGTGCGAAGGTAACTTCTGTTCAAAAGGAAGATTCAACGTTCTTTGTGCAGCAGAACGGACAGGAGAAAGTTGATAATGATCTGAAATAAACAATATAAGTAGGAGTTGTTTCAAGTAAGAAGCTGGAAAAAGACAGTGAGATTACAACATTTGGCAACTATTTTTCAGTTAAGGCAAAAACAGATAAAATGCTTTCGAGGAAAATTAAATGAACAATAGGATACCAATTCAAAACAAAGCATGTGCTAAGAATCTTAAATTTCGACTGTAGTAAGTTTGATAGACAGCTTCTTAAACAATTGAAAAATGAGAATAAATTTGTATACAGATAAATTAAAACTTGTACAAAAAGCAAGTATAAAGAGTAGTTACCTATCTTTTTTGGAAGAACCGGAATCTGTTTTTGCAGCGGTTGGAGACGACTTTTTTTTTTTCAAAAGCTTGATAGGAACTTGGTCAAAGTCCTACACATTTTCTTCTGAGATATCTTCTACATCACCGTTTGAAATTGGTGACAAAGATCGGCAAACATGAGCATGCGATAGTTTAAGATTTGGACATTGGTAAAAAAAAATTATACAATTAGGAATGACCTTTGGTCAGAACTGGCAAAAAGACATCTTCTGACCGATTCCCTTTTTCTTTTGTATGACTGAGCACTTCTGTCGGGCGGCGAAGCAGAAGATGAACTGTAGTTGATGACACTGTGATGTATTTTAGCAAGCTCTGTGGAGTTGCTAGTTCCATGGTTGAATATTCTGAAACGTTGTAAATCAAGACATCATTCGTGTTTAACATGTTTTTCCTAGTTCCAAACCGTAAATGAAAAATCTTCTTCTGCCCTATCAGTCTAAGAAATTCTTTTGGCACTTGATGTTGATCCACCAGTCTTGGATTGAGCACTAAATCTCTGCAGGTTGTGCCAAAAAGCTTCTCACCAGATTTGCCAATAATTAAAGCATTCATTTCAACGGTTTCGTCCTCAAGGACCAAGTTTAGTTTGTACTTGTAAAAGTTTAAGTTAGATAAGATTGAACATCAGAGATATATTTCTTAAACAAAGCCAAAGAAAACATGTTGAGAAAAACTGTTTAGTGTTTACTCTTTCTGATCAAGACATTTTGAAGATCAATTGACATGAAGTGAAAAAGAAGAATGAAAACTTACGGAAGAAAAGAATTTGAACAAATTATTTGAGGCACAGGCAAGAAAGAAGAAATGGAAGAAATATTTTGTGCAATTGGTGATAAAATCATAACATGTTAAAAAATACCAAGGAGTTGGCAGCTGGTTTGCATGTTTTTGGCAAATCAATTGCCCAGTTGTTTGATCTTTGTGCATTTGTTTGGCACAGTTTAGGCAAGCACTGTACCAGCAATCGTAGTGTGTGTCAAACTGCTTGACAGATGCTTTGCAGAGAAAGGTTTTGTACTGTAAAACAATTAAACAAAGACTTGTATAAACAGGATTAATAATATTGATATTTTTAACCAAATGTGTCAACATGCATTCAACTTTTTTAACAAAAGATAAACAGATTAAATACCTTGTAGAAATCTGGATATAAAAAAGCCAACTCTTCAATTGTTACCTTCTTTGCTGTCTGCAAGATTTGAGCTTTACTGGCTTGTTTTGAAGAGGGTGGCAGTATTTTTAAAGGCTCTGTGCATTTGGAAAAGCTGCATAGTTTAAAATAGCACATTAATTGATACATTTTGTGAGAATAGCCTTTCTTGTATTGTAAGAGCATATAACATTTTTTTAATAAATTGTAAACAATATTCTTCATGAACTTAGTAGACATTGTTATGACCAGCAGACGGAATTTATTTACTTTTTATTCCAAAAACGATACATTTTAAAAGACAGCTTACAATCAACTTGGGGACATCAGACCACCTATGAGTATCAGGATTTCACATTGCAAATTGAGTTTACAATTATAGGAAACAAATAGAGGTTTAGTTGTTCTCTAAATCTGGAAGTACCTGTGATGTTTTTTTAAAAGACTATTCGCAATAGCTTAAACCAACTCGGTCCCTTCGTTATACATTCCTTCATTAATTCCTCCCTAAATACCATGAAAAAAAAAAAAAACAAATCAGAATTTCACCCACTGCACAAAAACCCATCAGCATAGTGTGAAAAAATCACTATTTCACTTAAAGACTGCCACTTTACTCCAAATAAAATCCCAATTTCCAAAAGTAAATTTTCAATTAATTTCTCAAAAGCAATCATTTCAAAAAGCCCATAAGTATACAAAAATATTACCAAAAAATAGAGATATATTGAATAAGTAAAGAAGAATAACTTAGAGAAGGGGATGGAGGGGAAGCTGTCATGAGGGTCAAAGGCCATGAGATTACCCAGGTCGACTTGAATATGTTGCTGCCGTGTCTCCATTGCTGCTTTCTTGCAGTTGCTTTTCATCCTCTCCATTCGACAGTCCAGGTCTGCAACCCCAAAAACATACAGAAACGATTAGCTTCGCGGTTGGATTATCAAATCATGCGGTGACAGGACCGACATACACGCAAATAAAAAAATTCATCAATTTGTCTTTTCTGAATCCATAATTCAGATTCGAGTTCGAATTCAACGGGAAAAAAAAATACATAAATCCATCAAAAATTTTGCCCAATTGAAAAAAAGAAATAAAGGATGAATTAGAAGCTTTTAGCAGAGAGTCTAACTCAACAGGGAAAAATTTAAATGGAAATTGAAGCTTCAACGATGAGTGGGTATAGCACCCAAACCCTAGCAAGGCTCAAACCTAGACCTGCTTGCAAGATCAGAAATGGCAATGAAAGATGAAGAGAACATTGAACAAAATTGGTTTTGTAAAGTACAAAAAAATACCAAAACCAGCTTATTTTCAAAAACGCGGGTGAACAGTAAGTTTTAATGAATGTTTCAATAATCCAAAATTGCCCTTCTTTTCTCACACTTTCAGCTCTCGCCTTTAGCACGCTCTCGCAATACCCGAACCAGAAAATCAGCGATCTCTCTCGTTCCAAAAACCAGCGATCTTTCTCGTTCTTTAGGTTTCTCCGGCTCGGCGTCCTTCCTTTGGTAAGCTTCTCTTCTCTAAAATTTCATTATTATTTGTTTGGATTTTTAAATTTGGGGATAGGAGAGTGAGAGGGAAAGAGGGGTAAAGGGATGAGTGTATGGGTGTAGGGAAAAAAAATTGGGGATGGAGGGTCGGGAAAAAAATTAATTGGGCAAGGTGATATGGTTTGTGGAAAAGTTTAATTGGGAAAAAATTAGGGTTTGTGGAGGAAACAAGAAAAATTGAGAAAGAAGTTTGATTACATCTCTATTCATTTTTTTTAGAAGGTCTACTTCTGATTTATCTTAGGGTTTAGGTATCTAAGAAAGGGTAATTTCCTATAAAACTCTACTCTACTTCTAATATGTGAACTCTGCTTCTAATTTGTCATGAGCCATTCCCTCATCTCTTGTGATTCAGCACACACCTCTACGACGCCGTTTCATCGTCTTCTTCAAGCTCTCGCAGTCTTTTTTGAAACTCCAACCTCCAAGTCAGTACTCGTATCTTATCTCTCTCTCAGTCTGCTATCGTGTTTTATTTTTTTTTTCTTCTGAATTCTTCATTTATGTTATTCTTTTTAATTAGTACTAGGTTTGAGTTTTTGGTTCAGAGTTTTTGGTTTAGGCTGATTAATGTCCTTTTTCATTCTTTTCATGATTTATGCTAATTTTATTTGTCTAATTTTTGTTTATTTGTAGAAAAATATGGTTAGATTTGGTTCCTTTATCGATTTATATATATTTTTATCATGACAGTCATCCAAAAATGATGCAAAGTACTATCTATGAGATTGTGGTGTAACTTAGATGTGGTGTGGTCTCTAGTTGGTGGAGGTTCTTGGGTTACATTTCATTTTCCTGTTACGACATAATAAACTTTAAATATACATATTTTGAATTTAATTGGAATGCAAGTGTTTAGATCTATCATGGTAGAAGGTCTAGATTCCTTAAGGATATAAGTGATAACATAACATTTTATACTAAATTTCAGAATGGGCCAATTTGAAACTTGAAAAATGTTACTTGGACAATGGTTCTCATAGGAGGAACCAGTCGTTTTTGTAGGAGCGTTGTTGTTAGTGCTTAATGTTTTCTATATCGAATGTGCAGTCCACACTTGTGTCACTTGGCTGGATGAGTTCCATGTAGTAGATTGTTTATTCAGAATACTAATGTTCATGTGGTATTGAATTATCTGGTCAAATATTTCTTCATGCTCAGTACCAAACATAAGTCTTGTGTAGAAGGGTCAACTCTGGAGTTCAATGATAATCTGGACATCCATCCTTATTTGTTGGCAATTATTCTCTCAATGATTCAGTTAGTTTACCTCCTACCAATCTTCTGTTGTTGTTCTTACTGTTGTTGTTATTGCTATTGTTTTGTGAATTGTTGTTGGATTCTGTTGTTGTTCTTGCTGTTGTTGTTCTTGGTTATATTACAATATCATTTGTTATTGTTTTAATATGTGTGTGTGTGTGTATATGTATATATATATGTATGTATGTATGTATATATACAAATCAATAGTTGGTATCGATGGCAAAGAAGGGAGCATCTTCGTCAAATCCTTCAAATAGAGTGCCCACATTATATCTATATTTTGTGATGTTTGCATTAAGAGGTTGAGGCCGGAAATCGTCCGAGTACTCACTTTAACGAAGAAGGATATGCAAATATTAGAGCTAACTTCAAGGCAGAGACAGGGCATGATTATGAAAGAGTGCAACTGAAAAATAAGTCAGATGCACTTAAAAATCAATGGAAGTCGTGGAAAGAGTTAGTTGGTAAAGAAACTGGCCTAGGGTGGAATTCGAGTAAGGGTACTGTTGATGCCTCTGATGAGTGATGAAATAATAAAATTCAGGTTTGTGTATTTATCGTTTAGTATGTATTATGATATCATGCAATATGTATTAACCATATTCTTTCTTACTTGTAGATAAACAAAGAATATGAAAATTGCGAAAAAAAGGGCATTAGTCCTGAGATGGAGGACAAGTTGGATAGGATGTCCTCGAGTACAGTTGCTACCGGTGAACATGCATGGGCACCTTCATCTGGAGTACTACCACTAGAGACAAGAAATGAATCTATAGGACAAATTGATTCAGATTATGAGGAAGAAATTGAGACTATGCAAGATCTAAGGCAAGCTAGTACAAAGGGAAAAAAAAGAGCAGCTTATCAATGAGAATTGCAAAAGAAGAAGGTTGATAAGAAAGGGAAAAAATTGGAGGTGCTACAAAACTTTGTGGTCAAATTGATTGTCTTGTTGAAGCTTATGAAACTAGGAGTTCTGCATGAGGTCGCTGCGTATAGGTACTAGTATTAAGGAAATGTTAGTGGCTGTTGTACAATTGCCTGGAAATTTGATTCCTCACAAACATAAACATCAGCCTTTCCTTTAAGCCTTAACCAATCCTTAAAAATTTCACAATTTTTTCTATAGTGACCCTTAGTCTTACAATGATGGCATCTAACCTTTTCTATGTTTTTAGTCTTCACTTTAAAATGGTTAGACTTAGAGGAATTGAAATTCTTAGCAAGCACAACAGTTTTATCATTAGGCTTGGATTTAGAAAATTTACCAAAATTGAAGTTCTTCCCCTTAGCAACTTGCACATAGTTGACAGATTCAACTTCCTTTGTTTCTCTCCTACTTTTGATGAATTTCTTCTTGTACACACTGGATTATAAGCTCATCCACTATCCCATATTTGTCTTGAGTATTGTAAGAGACTTTTGAGTTGGCTGATTTCTGAAGCAAAGCTTCCAAGATCATGAACACCATTTGTTTTTCAATATTTTGACATCCATAGAATTAAGTTTCTCAGCATCATCAGTTAGCTTCATAATATGATCTATGATAGAAATTCTTCCTTCAAACTTGTAGTTAGTGAGTAAAGTCACGTGCTGAGCAATCTCAACATTTTTTGATACCTTAAATTTGCCTTCAATAGCCTTGATATAATCAAATGCAAGATCACACTTCTTAATACCCCTACGCACAATGTCAATCATTCCACTTTCCAATATTGAAAGTGCAACCTTATTTGCCCTTCACCTCTCAAAATCTGTCTTCTCGGCTTTAGTACTTTTATATGTGAGAGGCACTGGTTATGGTGTATCAAGTGCAATGTCATACTCATTTAGTGTTAATAACAATTTTATCTGTCTCCTCCACTTCTGATAGTTGCTTTCACCAGTAAGTATTGGCATAGATGCCAAATTTATTGATTTAAGTGAGACTGCAAAATGCAACAATGAAATCAGCACTTTGAATCTTATAAGATTCCTGAGTTCTATCCACTTCACTCAAATCATATACAATGAACCAATTTAATCATATATATAGCCTTGCAATCATATAAAAGAAGACACATATAGAATAAACAATTCACCATGAACATTATTCATATATTCATGTTCAAAAGATACCCAAAATTTGCATCACATGTATCTGCATATTCAAATTTCCAATTACACAGATTAAATTAATGCAGTATTTAATTGGCAGTGGAAACAAATGATTAGATTGAAAGACATTGAGTGGGATTCAGTAATACCAGGTATGATCGAAAATTTCATAATTCATATTACTCTAATCTTGTTATCTTTCTCAAGCATGTTCAAATAAAGAAAATTTACTGAATCAGGTATATGATCAAAAATTTCATAATTCATATTACTCTAATCTTGCTATCTTTCTCAAGCATGTTCAAATAAAGAAAACATATTATCTAGATTGCAACAATATTTCAAATCTATGTACATACCTCTGAACTGAAGATTATGATAAGTTTTTCTACGATTATCATAGATTGATATAAGTCATGGTGTACAGTCGTGCAACCTCTAGAGAGAGTGAGCGAAGAAGGAGTGAGAGAGAATGAAAGAAGAGAGGGAGAGCCAAGATTTTCCAAGTCTCATATTGTTACTTTTACTTCAAAGGTGAGTTAATGGCTATATAGTCTAAACGACACCGTTTGTATCAAAACCAATTAAAATGCAAGTTTTACTAATTTTCGGGTTTTGACGGTTCTTAGATGAACACTCCAGATTTGATCTTGCTAAAGTTCTTAAACAAAATTTTTGAACTTAACATCACTAATCACCCATGGCTCTGATACCACATGTAAGATGCATATACACATATCTTGTTATAGATCATAAACATTCCATTGAACAACAAAAATCAAGAACAATTTTATAACTTCAAAGATCGAATAATGAACATACCTACAGCATTATATGAAGATGATGAAGCCATGAAAGTTCTTTGTAACAGTTAACCTTTTCCTCTTTAGCAATAATCAAGTGCTCTCAAAGAATAGGGCGTTGAATCAATACGAGTAGTGGTTAGTGTTTATATACTAAATATTATACTTACTATTCTCCTATTAGAATCAGCATATGATTCAACTATCCAATCTATATTAACATGTGATTAAACACCATCCTAGTATAATCTTAAGCCCTCAAAACTCGAACCGCTATAACCAGATTCAATGTTATGTTCATACTCATATTCTAACAACCAGAGCAAGGTTGTTCCATATGTGAAGCCATACGACCACACATACTCCACGTCACCCGAGTTATATTGTCCACGTGTATAGCTGGATTATTCGCTACACATGAGGGGGGTGTGTTGAGAATGAATCCCACATTGATGAGATGAGGGACCTTGCATGTGTTTATAAGTAGTTGGCTACTCCCCATATTGACAACTAGTTTTATGGTGGAACCTTAACTTTTTCAATTTGACCACGTCACTGATAGAGGTAGGTACAAATGATAGTACAAATATATGACAAGAGTAGCATCCTTTATTAAAATACCAAGCATTTGAGAATTTTTGGCCTTTCTAGTAGGCAAGTTAAGAATGCAAACAAAGCCACTCATTCGTCCAGGGTTAAAAAAATTATCCATTCTTTAAATTAGAGTAATGTTAAGATTACCAAAATTTATAAACTAAATTTGAAAACTAAATGATGTGTCACCAATAGGAAATAAGTACGTTTATCAACGTTTAAGTAATAATTCAATTATCAATTTCCATGTCATTTAGTTTACAAAATTTAGTGTCACATCCCGGCCTAGGCGGGACCACTTCCCGGGCCCGACCCCACTACCGTAGCACGATATTGTCTGCTTTGGGCTTACCATTCCCTCACGATTTTGTTTTTGGGAACTCACGAGCAACTTCTCAGTGGGTCACCCATCATGGGATTGCTCTAGCCCCCTTCTCGCTTAACTTCGGAGTTCCTACGGAACCCGAAGCCAGTGAGCTTCCAAAATGCCTCGTGCTAGGTAAAGATGAGAATATACATATAAGGATCACTCCCCTAGGTGATGTGGGATGTCACAATCCGCCCCCCTTAGGGGGCCGACGTCCTCGTCAGCACACTTCCGGCCAAGGATTGGCTCTGATACCATATTGTCACATCCCGGCCCAGGCGGGACCACTTCTCAAGCCCGACCCCACTACCGTAGCACGATATTGTCCGCTTTTGGCTTACCATTCCCTCACGGTTTTGTTTTTGGGAACTCATGAGCAACTTCCCAGTGGGTCACCCATCATGGGATTGCTCTAGCCCCCTTCTCGCTTAACTTCGAAGTTCCTACGGAACCCGAAGCCAGTAAGCTCCCAAAAGGCCTCGTGCTAGGTAAAGATGGGAATATACATATAAGGATTACTCCCCTAGGCGATGTGGGATGTCACAATTAGTCTCCCTAGCATTATAAGGATCACTTCCCTAGGCGATGTGGGATGTCACATTTAGTTTCCCTAGCATTACTCTTTAAATTATTATAATAGTTTTGGACTCTCTCTCTCTCTTCCTCTAATAATAGTAAAAAATAAAATAAAAATAAAGGGAAGTGTTATTGACACTCTAAAAATCTCATTTTACACTCCTCACAAGTGTATTTTTTTTTCTAATATAAAAAGTTTAGAGTGTAGAATGAGATTTTCGGAGTGTTAATAATAATTCCCAAAATAAAAATAAACAATTAACTGCAAACTAACAACATAGTTTACGTCAACATAAAAACAAAGGGGTTTAATTAAAAAGAATTAGAGAGCGAGCATTTTTGGGAAATGGGAAGTGTACTTGGAGTTGGAGAGCAGCACAGAGCAGAACACAGTTTAAAGGGAGGTAGATTATCTGCCGGTCCTGTTATGGTGCCATCCCCATACCCTCTTATTTGTACGATCACGGTTAAGTCACGTCAACATTTTATATTTCTATTGTTTTTTATCTTATTATCTCTATAAAAAAATCAATATAAAACGTTGACGTGATTTAATCATGACCGCATAAAATAGGAGGGCATAGGAAGGCACCGTATTAGGATGGCAAACAATCTGCCTCCCAGTTTAAAGTGGTGAATGGGCGAGTCGTTACATATGTTATATCTATGTAAAATGCCATACTAACTCTTGGGAAGATGAAACGGTAGCTTATTGAAGAGGTAAAATCTCACAAAATCATGCATTGTATTGTCCTTTCAGTACAGTCATGCACAAAGCAAGGCCATAGTATTATAATACAAATGTAATTGTCACTTTCCATCGTACAACAAACCAAGAAATGCCCTAAGAAAATGTTCTGAGTTTAACATGAATGTGGCATTTCTGCAGCCTCAATTATTGACTGACACATATTTATAAACTTAACTTTCTTTAACTTTTGTGTCAGACACTTAATATGCGTCAATTAATGACTGAAGCCACAAAAAAGCTACACGCATTTTGGACGCAAAAGATTCGATCCATGAGAAATCAAGGTCGCCAACCCTCCATGCATGCAACTTCCACCCAACTCATATTTCCATTATACTATACTATGCTCATTAATCGATGTATGGTTTTAAATGTTTTTTACAATAATATATTTACACTAAGGAGTAAGAAAAATGATTGATATCAAACTCATCATCGAACCTAAGATTTTTTTACTTACAAGTAGAGATAAAAATAGAAAAACTATAAGCATTAGAGGTTAACCAATATTACAAGTTGCATGGACCAACATGAAGTTTAACTAGACGTAGAATTTAACAAAAATATCTGCCAAACTATCAAATTAACCTTATTATTATCAAATATCATGTACATACATACATTGGCTACGAGTGATATGCTCTTAATTAAGGTAATTAAGAGCAATTTAGATTAGTTAAGGTGATTAAGAAAAGTACACCATACCATAACTTTCACCCAAAATAAAAAAAAAATTAAAGTGAACATAATGAATGAAAAATCAGGGTCCACAGCAGCAAAGTAGTTGTCATTTCCATCATACAAACAACAAGAAATGGACAAGAAAATCAGGGGTCAACCCGCCAAACGATGATATTTGCATTAGTACATATTTATAGTGCTAATCAATAAAATTACAAAAATGTTAAAACTTGAAAAAAAAAAAAACAGGGGAGCTGAAATTACTTAGAGCATAAGGAACCAAATATTTAGTTTCTTTTTTCTGGAGTTAGTATCATTATCATATGAGTTACATTCCAATTACAGGATCCAAAAATGGGTAAACTCCTTCCCAACCTAAAATAAACCATAATTAATTAAATAATTAACAAACTAATCATGATTAGGGATTGAAGATGGAGCTGCCACACTTGCACTTCCAACTCATGGGCTTGTAGTTGCTGGAGTTCTCATCTCCTCTGGCATAAGCAATGCTGGATACAACTTTGGAGGAGTTTTTGCTGCCTTTTACCGCATTTACTTGGGGATTTTCAGGCATTTGAATTGCCTCGCAGTGGCCACAGGAGCTGCACCTTCTCTCACACCTTGGAGGCCTCGAACCTATCTGACCTCTCAGATTCACTTTACTCTCTTCATTCCCTGCCTACCCAAATCAAACAACACAAAAAACAACCAAAAAAATTATCACATTGGGTTCAAATCACAGGCGTTTGATGAAAGTTCTGAGAAAGTTTTGAACTTATAGTCCACTGGATAAAAACCCACCTGGGAAATGGCAACTTTGTTGTGAATTGCTCTGCTTTCAGCCAATTGGGTACAAAATCTTAACTGGGCTGGGCACATAATCAAGAGAAACATAAGGGAAATTGAGTAGAAGTGGAAGCAACCCATTAAAGAGGAAGCGGAGAGGAAGATTTTGGAGGTGAGGGAGGGACAAAATAATGAAATGGCTTGTGAAAGTTTAAGTGGGAAAATTGATGTGAATAAACAAACTAAAGGGTCAGAAATCCTGTAAGAGAAAGACAGGTTAATATATAAGTTTGATGTGCTTCTGGAGGAGCAGCAGAAATCGGGGTTTTTGAGGTGATCGTCTGATGGAACGTGGACGTAGATGGATGCTTGGATGGATGGACAAATGAGAAAAATGGCAGAGAGGAGCCAGTAAAAAGGAGGTATGAAAAGGGAATAACTTAAAGCCTCGACTTGGGAGTCCTGTACAATCAAAATGTTTTATAAAAATTTGAAGGAAGAAAGGACGAGAACTAGAAAATAACAGCAGGGTTAGATTTGGGATAGAGGACAAGGAACCCCAACAGCGAAAAATCACTGAAATTTTAACCCCACAAGATATGAGATCAGTTGGCGCTAAAGGACATGGATTTTACAGCTATGGATTTTTGGGGGTTTTCGCTTTCAGTGGAATTTTTATTTTTTTGGTGGGAAAAATTGTTATTTAATATTCGAAGGAAGTTGTTTTCTGGGATTTCTTGCTGCGGTGGGTCTGAATCTGATCAGCACTTCCGTAGTAGCACAACATAATCACGCTATCTCTCTCCTCTCTCTCTCTCTCTCTCTCTCTCTCTCTCTCTCTCTCCCCTGAATAATGATAGTGTAATCACATGCACAGTTTCACATGGCATGCTGCAAAAGATGTGAATCGAAAAGTTGAGTTTTCATCATTCTTTCGAATCACATTCGTTATTTTTTTTACTGCCACGATGTGAACCGTCAGCAAGTATAGAATAGATTGAAAAACCAAAATGGGTGACGGGTGTGGTCCGTTTGGGTCAGAATTGAAGCGCATTGGACTCCAGCCCGACTTTAGAGAGAATGATAATATTAGGAAGAATAAATTTTAAATCAAATTTACAAATCAAAAGATATGTCATCAATCGAAAATAAACACGTTAATTAATATTTAACTAATAATTCAATCACCAATCACCAATTACCAACCACCAACATCCACATCATTTGATTTACATAATTTAATTTAAAAATTTTGGTCTCCCTAGCATTACGTTAGAGAAAAACCCAACTTATTTTGTGACACTAAAGAAATTGGATTTTACCATTAAGAATCAATTAGAGCATGACAAGTGGATATAAATATGATGGTTCCACCACGCAATAACTTTCCTTTTATTTCATGGATGCATTTAACTTCAGTGTTAGACTGTCTATGTTAAGACGGGATCAAACCATTCGTAGTTCACCCTATACTAATCTCTGAGATTCTTGAGGCATTAACGAGTATGTTTGACTAGATTTTAGTCTACATAACAAAACCATATGAGAATCAGAATTTTCATTCGTCATTCAGCCATATCACACAGTTTTCCAACACAATTCTATAATCATTAAAAATAATCAATCATAATAAAACTATGCTAATCAACCAATACAGTCAAGTATTGATTCACAAAATTTGATAAAGCAAGTGTCTTTTCTAAGTAATTTCTGTTAACAAGAATCAAAGGTTCCGGACTAACTCAGCGGAACAGAACAAGGGTTGGGATTTTAGACCACTCAATGGAATTCAACTCAAGAATGCATATGGTTCCCTATTACAGAATAACTAGGCGGAGCTATAAGCATCCATCTAATAGCGTGATCCCCTAATGCGGATTAACCAGGCAGGATCACCTATGGATCTAATCTAACCAAGTAGGCAATGACCGCCTAATACGGATTAACCAGGCGGAAGTCACCCCTAGAATGCATATGGTCCTATGCGGATTAACCAGGCAGGACCATCCCTAGGGTGCGCATGGTCCCCCAATGCGGTTTAATCAAGCGAGACCATGGACATGCTGCCAATAGGATAGTTCCCCAATGCGGATTAACCAGGCATAACTACCTATGGGAATCATGTAATCAAGTAGGCAGTAACTTCTCAATGAGGATTAACCAAAATAGAAAGAGCCATCAAGTCTCTCTCTAATTTCTACTTCCTACTTTTCTTAACCGTAAACCATATTAATTATGTAAATAACAACAACTTATAATTAGTCATTAGAAGAATAAAGAAATTTGGGATGTTTACCCATATATGCAAGTTACAGGTTGATCAAAAGTGAAGTAGTTTGTTCCTTACTCCTTTCTTCTATTTGAAACTAATCAATTAGTAGCCAAACTAATATCATATATCCCTTTTTAACATGTAACAATGTGTATAGTTTGACAAGATGAAAACCAGCTTGCTCCTGTCCAAATGTGTACAGATACATATATATAAATTCACCTTCTGGGAAATCAATTGACACATGTATATAAAGCAGTATTGCAAATGTAAAAATCTCGTAGGATTGGATTTGTGAAGCTAATTTCACAATACTAATTCAAAAGTAGTTTTGATTGATCAACTCCAAACACATGCTTTACTTGAAATAGTGGAAACAATAAATATATAAATACACACACACAAAAGTATAGTTTCATGCTGTGAAAGCTAGTTTCGTTTAGCTCCATTATTTACAGCCACGTATATATATATATGCACACACTTAATAAAAAAAACTAGCATTTCTCGTGCGAAAGTTTGTTTTTGATTTTAATCATGGCAAGTTACAAATTTTTAGTTATAAATCTTTGGGTCATTCATACTTGAGAAAAGTAATGCGAAAGTTTGTTTTTGATTTTAATCATGGCGAGTTACAAATTTTTAGTTATGAATCTTTGGGTCATTCATACTTGAGAAAAGTATGGACCGTATGAATATATTGATATTAAAATTTGGAAACACTAAAATTTTTTTTATAGACAATTTCAAATATTATACGCAGTGAGTTTTTAATAGAAAAGAGGACATATGCTTTCGACTACAATTCTTTGCTTTGGCCCCTCCTAATTCAACAAAGCTCCTCCAACCATGTTGGTTTCAATTTGGCTTTTTATAAACCATCGGTGCGAGGAAGAGAATGATATCCTTCGACCTGTCAAAAACAAATTGTATAAGGCAATTGTACTCTAATAGAAAAGATGACAGAATAAAACGAAAATAAAAGAGTAAACAGGTAAAATTGAAATAAATAAATAAATAAAAGTTAGAAGGTGTTGCAGTCAAATTTAGAATAGAAATGTGATTGTGCAAATCCTAGTAGATATGAGAATGTATCTTATATTCCTATTAGGAGTTGATTACTTATTAAGAGTTGTAATCCTAAAGGAAAAGGTTATTGCCTATCCTATTACTATAAATAAAGGCACAATGGGATGATACAAACACACCTCACAATTAAATCATTCTCTCTTCTCTCTAATTGTCGTCGGCCCCTTCTCTCTCTAAAACCCTAGATTATTTCAATCAAATAGGCCTACAATGATACATGAACCCTTCTATGTTTATATTTTCCTTACGTTATATATATATATATATATATTGTATATGTTTATATATTTGTCAATATATATATTTGTTTCATGCATTACGCAATTAAATTGCTATATGAAATTGTGAGTCAAAGCATATTCATAAATTAGAAGCAAATCTAGGGTATATAAAACCCTAACCATGCTGAAAAAACATATGGCGTTAGGCATTATGCGGCACCACCGCCGCACCACCACTGTGGAGCAGCAGCCTATTGGGCTCGCTGTCCCTGCACCACTGCTGGGCTTTGGCCTGGATTGGATTGCACCATGGGCCCGAAGACGCCTGCCCACACTCGCATGCCCGCAGCCATGCTGGGCTTCGTCCCCCTTGCCCCGGCCTGCATGCCGTGGCCTTTTTGGTTGCTGGGCTTATGCCACAGCCCAATGATCTCGGCCCTAGCCACAGTCGGGCCTAGCGTGACCCAAACACTCAAGCCAGCTTTGTTGGGCTTGCTTCCTGCACCAAGGTCTCAGCCCCAATTAAGCCAGCAGTTGTTGCTGGGCTTCAAAACCCATACGGCCGCGGCCTGAAGCCACCCATAGGCTGCATATTGCAGCCAATCCCGAGCCCCATTTTTGGGCTATATTTTTCGACCGAATGCTATTATTTGGCTTCAACGATCAACCCTGTTTGGTCCCGATCTATTGAATTAATTAAAAGTGACCTCCAATCCATTATTCTGATAATGAATTCAAAATTATTGACCTTAAATATCACTTTTGGACATTAACGATTCAATAATTTATTTTTATACTTTGAGTCGTTGACATACTTTCGTAATAATGAAACTCTCACACTTGAGTTCCCGAAGAAACTCAAACCCACTATACTTAAGTCAACACATTGCATTCTGTGTTTCTTGCAAAAACCTCTCATTTATGAACTAGTCGTTCATAAAAACTAAATTGAACCAGTAGTTTCAAATTTAGTGCCTTTGAAACCCAGTTTTCATTCAAAACATACCACATGAAACCTGTAGTTTTCATGCATAAATTAAACCAATACATGTCTATAGAACCTGTATGTTCTAGGATATATGTCTATGGATCACCATATGACTAATCACGCTTTTTTTGTACCCTCTGTTTTAGGGACATGTCGAACTTGAACAAGCTCGATTTCATCGCTTTAGAAGTCTTCGGAAGAAACTATCTGAAATGGGTTCAAGGCGTGAAGCTCCATCTGATTGCAAAAGGTATTAGAGCCACCATCGAGGCCCCTACCGATGACAAACCTATTGACGAAGCCCATAAAGCTATTGTAATGATCTTCATTCGAAGACACATCCATGATGCACTGCAGACCAAGTACCTCGCTGAGGAGGACCCACACACCTTCTAGCTTGCTCTGGCCAACCATTTCGATCACCAGAATGACATCTTCTTGCCTGAAGCAAGAAACGACTGGTAGCATCTTCGTTTCCAAGACTTTAAGTTCATGAATGAATACAAATATGAAGTTTGTAGATTCGTTCACTGCTGAAATTCTGTAAAGTGGAACTAACCAAATCAGATCTCTTGGAAAATATCTATTCGACTTTCCATGCCACCAATATTGTCCTGCAACAACAATATAGGGCACATAAATTCACCAAGTTTTTGGATTAGATCTCTGTTTTACTTCTCACTGAAAAACAAAACTAGCTTTTGATGAAGAATCATCAAGCTCGACCTGCTAGCTTGAACGCCGCGCCTGAAGCGTATGCAATTCTAGCAGCCACAAATGACAAAAGAACCGTCATGGCTGTGGCAATGGACAGCAAGCCACGGGCCTAAGGTCAACAGAATGCCACACCTAAGTGAGGAAATGTGATCCAGCAGCGTCCACCACTTGCCCTAAGGCCCCGAACATTAGGAACAAGGGCAAAGCTCAGGTTCAGTTAACTTTTACTGAAATGGACATGTGCTACCGCTGTGGATCAACTGATTATTGGTCATGTGTATGCCGAGCATCCCTCAAGCTATTGCTAAGTATCATTCCCGTTGTGCATCTAACTTTGCACATGTGGATCATCCAGAAAATACGACTACATCAATGGAGTTATTGGATTTTCAGGGGGCGTCAGCTCTCATGGATGAATAAATTAGACATGCTTTTAGGGTGTT